TCTCCTGCCTCAGCCTCCCGAGTAGCTGGGACTACAGGCGCCCGCCACCTCGCCCGGCTAGTATTTTTGTATTTTTTAGTAGAGACGTTTCACCGTGTTAGCCAGGATGGTCTCGATCTTCTGACCTAGTGATCCGCCCATCTCGGCCTCCCAAAGTGCTGGGATTACAGGCTTGAGCCACCGTGCCCGGCCACACTTTTGCTTTTTAACAAAACTTAAATAAATGAGCTATTTGAGGACAGTTCTGGAAATTCTTGCCTCGATTTTTCTCCAGCAAGATTTTAGATATGTAGTTCATGTCAATGTTAATATATGAATAATTATTTTCTTATTTATTGGACTTCTAGTTCTCTTTCATGATCCATCTCTTAGTGAACTGACTTTCTGATTCATTGAAAGCAAAATGCTAAGAAGGTTTTGTGCAAGTGCAAAATGGTTAATCTTGGGTTTGGTCAACTAGTCTCTGATATTAACTTGTTTAGTTAAGCCAAGATCAAGAAGTATGAGAAAGAACTTGAAATATGAGAATTTTACACATAATATGGGATAAGTAGTCAATATTAGAAATGTGAGACAATAAAAACAAGATATATTCCAAAGCCTAATCCTAAACTTAAATCTACGCTTCATTCAACTCTGAACCTGACCTTGAAACACGGAAGAAGTTACTTTACCTAAGCACACTGGACCAGTGTAAAACCAATGCCAATTTTAGCTGCCTCATACTGCTTAATGTGTATATGTACACATGTATTCTTAAAATGGTGATTCTTAAATTGAAAGGAAGTTCTGAATTCTTTTGAGAATCTAAGAGGTCCTGATAACTTACTTCAGAAACACACACGTACAGTAAGTGTTGATCATGTACTATAAATCACAGCATTGTGGATGCAGTGGGATTAGACATGAAGAAAAATTTTAGATTTTCAATAAAGACTCTGGTTACTAACCTTAAGGAATATACTTAGACTCGGAAAGTAAAAGGACAGTGCAGTGACCATATTTGTTCATTCATCTGCCTATTTTCAAATCTAATGATGATGTGCTGGATGCAGATGTGTCCCTAATCTAGGCTATAAATGATAAAAACAAAGATGTTTAAGTTCTAACTTTTGTTAGCAGTATACATCTAATAATTTCCAAGTATTACAAAATACTTGGAAGGAGAGACTTTAATATACCACTATCAAAATCCTGTGTACCCAAACCAGCAATGAAATGGCTGGATATATAACGTTACCTTGGGCAAAATTTAAGAAAATAAAGACACAGTAGCTCTACATTTTTTTTTTTTTTTTCTTTAGAATCGTTAAGCTATAGAAGGTAAATTC